ACTAGATACATTCTACCCTACGGACAGAGTGGTACCACAGCTGTGGGGCCCACATCAATGTTCTCTACAGATTCTAAAGGTAGAAAAGGGGACTCGCCAGCACTGCAGATAGATTTCACAGCACGAGAAACTTTCTTCCATATCAGCAGTTCATCTAACTGATGCCTTAACCACCAAACTGCAGCATTCCCACTTCTATATCAACCCCGGAAGATGCGTCCTAATGCTTTAATTATAGTTCTAATGTTAAAATGCCTAAAAATGTTGGTTATCTTTGACGCCTTTCAGTCATCTATTTCATCTGTTATATCCAAATTGTAGTTCACCCCAATTCCCAACAAGGGGATTATCTTATGTGGCTCTATTGATTTAGAATGCATAGGCAAAGGGGAGGACTTAAGGATCACTAAAAGTCTTCTTTCATGACTGTCAAGTGCCAAGCCCGTATTGCTTATGCAAATGTATTTACCAATCAACAAGGTCAACTATGCGAAATTATGCATTACCATAGAATAATTAGGACAACTGCTGGTCTATCCCCGCTTAAATAATTTCTGTAAGTTTCGTAAAGAATATATTTATTTTTCTTTATTTATAGAATTTTTATTGGTATTTCTTAAATTTGGAGGATAATAAGGAGTGGAAACTGGAAAGAAAATCGTGGATACATACAAAATAGATGTCAGAACTCAGAAAACCGATAGAGTAGAATTGCAGAGATAACACTAACCGGTTTGTTGTTCAATAACCCCGTCAGAACGACCAATCGAGAAAGCTTGCTCCGGAGAATCCGTAGATCTTATGATGAACTTGTCAGGGAACTCCTGCAGCTGCAACTGGTTGAACAGCTTGAAACCTCCCGAAGGGGTTATATTTTCCATTTTGTTTCTCTTTTTTCTTCGGATCCTTTGGATAAGTTTTGAGTCCAAGCTCTGCGATGGTTGATTAATGTGGATCGACTTGGATGAACTACAAAAAAGAAGAAGAAGAAGAAGAAGAAGAAGAAGAAGAAGAAATGGAGGGATGGGTGGTTATTCGTTAAGTCTTACTTAACTACTCGTCAAGCTTCTAAAAACAAGCATTAATGACTGATTAAGGACGCTGTTTTTCTAAATGACGTTAATAACCTCGGGATTTAAACTTTAACTTAGCTTAAACGGCCTAATTACAGCCTTAATCATAAGCTAATCATCTCTGTACCTATAGCTCGATTTCCTCCGTGGTTCTTCTTTACTTTTCCCTCATGTTGAGTTCCTTTTTGACTTAGTTAGGTTGAATTTAGTTGAAGGACGGATTAGGGTTAGAGTTGATTAATATGAACTTGACTTGACTTCATGTTGAATCAGGATTTAGGTAATCAGAGCCCAATATCTGTTTTTCAACCTGTTGTTGAATTGGCCAGTCAGACCGGTTAATCCATCGTCCGGACAGAATAATTCCGGGTCCATTTCACTAATAAATCATTTGTTTGTGAAAAATTATTGACTCGGTCAAAGACCAAATGACCCGGCCAGTTGAATTGCTGAACCATTGACCCCATAAATGAGGTTGCTTGTGTACCTCAAGTATTAATTCTCTTTTTTTCTGTTTTTGTATTTTTTTCATCGTATATAAGAATAAATTTTATTTGCTTCCCTCGTTTGTGTTTGACATAATATCTTTTTCTACAAATCTTTTGTTTATTTTAGTTTTTGTATTTTTCTTGTTTTTATATATTTATTAGTAGGGGATGAGTTATGTCATAATCATACAAGTAGAAACACTGACACATCAACATTTTAAAGAACCTGATCCATCAGTGAACTGGAAGCATAAATGATTTGGTCCAACCTTTTTTGATCGGGTTATAATCCTACACAAAAGTAGTGAAGTGTCACCTGAACAGGTTGAAATATAAAGGAAAAATACTTTTCCTTGAATTGCAACTATACCAGATAATTTGTGCAATTTAGGTTTAGAGCTAGAATCAGATTGGGTGGTTTTTGGGTTCTATTATATTTTCATTTCAACTTGATTGCATGTTCAAATTGAACCAGTAGCGTATCAAGGCCAAGTTCAATATTGCTCAACTCTCCATCTCAGTCCAAGCACAGAGCATAATCTGGAAACTCAACCCATTTAACTTATATTCCATCCCCTTTGCAGATCTCAAGGGAGCATATGTTTTTTACTGTTTGAACCATTTATATATGTGAAGATTCAGCAAGAACTAGATTTTTTTTATCAATAACAAGAAGTAGATTTTCTTTCTTTCTTTCTTTATGGCTATAATGTGATTTCTATTCCTATAAGGCTGTGTTTGGTTGCAATGCAAATAAATTTGCACTGATGCAAAACCATGGCAGTGCAAATAATTTGAGCGTAAATTCTAACCTATTTTTGTTTCAAATTTTATCATATTTTGTTTGATTGCAGTACAAATGAAGTAAATTCTTTTCCACAAGTAAAGAATAATCTTGCAGCTTTGTTGGCTTTATGTTGGTATTGGGCTTTTGATGGAGTGGGATCAAAGGTTTGCATTCTTTTTTATTATATGCTTGTTTCCTCTATTACTTGCATTGCAACTAATGTCTCCTGTGTTTCACAGTTTTTTGTTCTTCTGGAAATGGGAGCTACCCTATTTGTGGACATCATTATATGTGGAATTGCTCCAACTCATATCAGCCTCATCTTTCAACAAGCATGATGTGGCCAAACTCCCCATCATTTGTCAATGGCATGCATAATAATCTCCCTATGCAATTGCATGGACTTCCTAGAGCACCATCTCATATGCTGAACACAGTTCTACCAATACATCACCATGTTGGATCAGCACCAGTTGTAGAAGCTTGATGAAGAACGTGGCTATAGTCTTCAATTGCCTTCATTTAGAAAATTTAAACAATAAACTAAAATTGGATCAACACCATGCATAATAATCACCAATATAGAAGCTTGATGAAGAACGTGGTTGTAGTCTTCAATTGCAGCAAGGATCCAACCACTAGTTAATGCAGCGGACAAACTAGCGAACTTGGCAGGTCTCAAGCCAGCAGAAAGTGAGAATTCCAATCAGAACCAACCCACCAAGGAACCTACTTCAGAATGCCAAAATCATGAGGCCCTGAAGGTTCTTCAACAGGTCTAGGTTCTAAATGGTTAACTTGGTGGGGGTCTACCATATGTACCAACGCAAGAGGAGATTCTCTCTTTGAGAGAAGAAGAAGAAAGAAGAAACGGAGAAAAAAATAAACACTAAAATCTATGTATTGACAAGTATTTTATATGAGACCATAAACAAAAAAAGAATGTATATGACTTATTTCTAGAAAATCTTTGTTATAGGTTATAGTTAAACAAGTTATTGAACTTGTTACTTGGACAGATTATAGTTGAACAGGTTATTCAACCTATTATTTGGACAGGTTATGTGTTAATGAGACAAAGTGTCCAAAAAACATGGATTTGGGTCAAGAGGTAAAATTGGAAAGAGATGAAAAAAAATAGCAATTTACCCAGAAAAGTGGGTGTTACAAAAGAACATGGGAAAATAACAGATTTCATTTACCTGGATAAATCAAACAAAAAAAGAACATGGGTAAATGCACTTATACACAGGTAAGTGTTTACCTGGGTTGATTACCCAGGTAAATGTGTTTTCGAAAAAAAAACACGGTCTTATTGGGATCAAGATTTCCATACCTGTGAGTAGGGGTGGCAATTTTTCATCCAACCCGCTGAATCCACCCAACCCACCCATTTACTTGGCGGGTTGGAAATGGGTTGATCACTCATTGGGTCAATTTAAATGGGTTGAGTTGTGGATAACCATTGGATTAACCACTACAGATATAAGTATTAATTCCTTAGCATTTTTTTTAATTTTCTTCATTTAAATGAAATGATTTATAATTAATGTATTAATTATTGACTAAAATTAGCTTTGTCTTGAATCAACACACTTCACCCAAATCGACACAAATCCAAATCAATTTGATCCGAGTCTGGACTAACTCAACTTGATCTAAATAAGAAAAGACCCGATTACCTTGATTCGGTTCATTTGGGGCAGTCAACCTGGTCCGAACCCAACCCGACCTGGTACAAATAAATCTGAGTCAACCCGAATTTGAAACGAGCCCAGGCAGGATGACTCAACACCCTGCCCCAAATGAAGATTAGAATGAATACAATCAAAGATCCCAAGTCTGCTCCATAGAGGCTTGGATCAAAACCGTCGTCTCTCAAATCTGTCCAAAGAACCTTTCCAACAAACACCGATATGAAGAGAAAAAAATGAAAACTCACATCCATAGATGTGAGAGAGAAACCCTCCTGCCAAGAGAGGTACCTTCACGTAAAGAGAAACCCTCCCGCTGAGAGAGAGACCCACACGCAAAACGAAACTCTCCCGCAGAGAGAGAAACCCTCCCCACTTCAAAGCAATATCTAAGCGGAGATCATTTCCCTATACATGAGTCGGACTCAAAACTGATTGGTATTCCTTTTTTTTGGTCTTTCATAGTTTCCTTCATTTTGTTTCTTCACTTAGGTATCGTTTGGTTCGTGGTAATAGGCCATTCTGATTCCAATTATTTGGTTGGGCAGAATAGAAATCTCATTCCAATTCTTGGTGTGGTGGAATGGCATTCCTCCATTTTAGGGGATGGTCATTCCCCTTGGAAGTGAAATCTCATTCCAATCATTGTTTGAACTAAACAAATTATGGGAATAGACCATTCCCATTTCGATTCCAAAGGACTTCAACTCCAATTCCAATTCCAATTTCAAAATTTCTTTTACAACGCCTATAGTTTGATACGTCATTGTTATCCAGTTATCTGTTTTACCCTTTTCTTTTGATAGACTGTGCTTATATAGTTGTATATGTTTTATATAATTTTTTGTTAGGCTTGAAGAGTATGATTATAAATACAAAAAATTTGAAATACTATATATATGTTACTGCATATATACCCTTCCGAATTGAAGATCCAGTGAATATAAAATACAAGGTTTTGCAATCTAAATATTTATATATATTTTTAATGTGAAATTGTGAGTCTCGAGGGTTTGGAGGTTTAAATTGGTCCAGGGATAATTACGAGGATTTTGATTGATTGGTGGCAGTGGAATGTTTAAAATGTTGTATGTTATGATTTTTGATCAGTAAATAGAACACCAGGTCACCAAATGTAAGTCATAGCTGTCCTCAATGCTTAGCTTAATGCCAACGTTAATGGTTTTGTCTTCAATTCTTCACCATTTCCCTGTTTTTTTTTTTTTTTTTTTTTTTTTTGTAATGACCATTTCCCTGGTATACGAACAAACAAAAGAAAAAATATCTTTAAAAAACTAGTAATTAAGCACGTATTGCATGTATGAAATTTTTTTTTTCATATTAATTACTTGATTTTTAGATATATCATAGTAGCCCGGCCCGCACCCCAGTCAGGCTTGATCATGTAATTAGGTCTACGGGCCTGACCTTGGGCCTAACACAATAAGCCCAACTGTGTTACGGGTCGGGCTCGGGATTTGTCAAAAAAGCCCGGCCAAGCCCAACTCAGCATTATATATTTTATAAAATACATAATATGTATTTTATATATTATATAAAATATACAAATAATATAATATTTATTGAAATATATATATTTATAACTTAATATATACATTTTTTTATTTGTTTCTTTATAATTTCTCTCTCTCTCTCTCTCTCTATTCAGCCGCTTTAGTAGTAGTAACAGCATGGGCTAAATTTCAGGCCCGGGCTTCGGGCTTTTTATGAGGGCCGGGCTCGGGCCCAAGTTGTAGGCTCAATGGTCGGGTCGGGCTCGGGTTTGGGCCTTAGAAAAATCTGTTAATACAGAGTAAAAGCCCGGCCCGGCCCGACCCATGAGCAGGTTCATTGACCCATTATTTAGATAAGAAAATAGCTTTGCTTTTGGATCAGTTTTAAATTATATATTCCATCAACATTATATAAATAGTTTTTACTTATCACACTTAATTTTTCTTTGACATAATTAATATATAATTTTTTATATATTCATTTGATTATTTGTATTTTTTATTACTTTTTAAATATTTATTATTTAGCTATCATATCATCGATTAATCCATTTGACCTAAACCACTAACCCATGGCCCCAAAAAAAGTTCGGTTTCTAGGTTGACATTAAATTTTGTATTACATTTCCATTATTGATAAAATTATATTTTATGTATAATATTTATTTTTATTCAATATAATGAAAGTATAATACTATAGATGTACCCAATATTTTATTTTTTTTATAGATATATAACATTATATCTTATGTATAACATTTATTTTTGTGATTCTTTGTATTTTTATTTTTAAAAATTTTATTATTTAACTATGACATCATTTCATTTCTAGGTTGATTTTAATTTTGACATTCTGTTTTCATCATTTATAAAAATACTTCTTACGTTTCATACTTATTTTTGTTCAGTATAATGAATAGAAAAATATTAGTCACGTGCCCAATTCTTTTTATTTTTTATTATGTATTTGATATTCTATATTTTATTATTATGGTATTATTTATTAACGCATTTAACCCCAAATGGTTGAATTGCTTACCCATCGACGAGAGGGAAGAAAATTATTTTATTTTTAAATTATTTTTCCAAATATTTATTTTTATATTATTAAAATTAATGTTGTTGATTTAATTAGTAGAATTTAATGATGAGAAAAATATATCTTAAATATAGGATTTAATGGGAGAATATACCTTAGATATGAAATTTAATGAGAGATAATAGAAAAATAGTTTTATCGTCAATGTTTTCAACCTGTTGTTGACCTGGCTGATTGAACCATTCGAGCCATCACCCGACCTTGATCTTGGGTTTAGTTCTGTTGAAACTCCCCATTTCAATTAAAAACCGTCTAACCCGGGTGGTCCAACCATTACCCCGTCCGACCCAATAACCAAGTTACAGGTTGCACACTTAATTACGTGCAAAATTTTGGAAGCCATGACTTTGCATTTTCGATGTCTGATTGGAGTTTTTTTTTTTTTTTTGTAACTTTTCAAGATCTATACATCCCAAGGGCCTTAGGTGCCTTGCCTTGCTATTTTTGCAAAAAAACCCTTTTTTGTCCCCAAATTGAAATTTTTATATTTTTATAAATAAAAAATTAAAATCTGAATTAAAAAACATAAATAAATGTAACACAATACATATATTATATGTAATGTATGTAAAGCATAAATATAAAATATATGTAAAACATAACTATAGTATATGTAAAACATAACTATAGTATATGTAAAACATAATTATACTATCTATTGATAAAATATGTATTTTTACATACACACATATAGTGTTGACGCAAAGCGATTTGACTTGTTTAACCTTGATAGTCAAATCGGTGACATGTGACTTAAAGGCAAAAGTGGGTCAGCCTCTGGGTTGGTTTTTAAAACATTATTTATCATACTGATTATTGTTTAATATGTCAAATATATGATGTTAAAAACGTTTTCATTTTTTAATTTCTATATTTTTTGCATTTTATATATTTTTGAATTTTATTATTTAATTGTGGCAACATGGATTGACCCATTTGACCCAAATGGTTTAATTTCTTACCATCACCTAGATGAAAACATATTGTTTTTCTAGATAGATATTGAAATTATTAATTTATTATGTATGAATTTAATTATATAATTTAATGATGAGAAAAAACAAAAAAGCCTTAAATATATGATTCAATTAAGGTGAATGCAAATTAATACCTTAAGTGTTGGATTTAATGAGAGAGAATTGAATGCATTGAATATCTTAAAATTACCTCTTTTCAACTCATTTAATATCAATAACCAACTATCCTATTTACCCTCATTTTTTATCAATAAATGTAAATACAGAGGGGTAAGTTTTTTCCTAAAAAAAATCTAGAAATAATATTTATTTTTATATTATTAAAATTAAAACTGTGTTTTTTATACTTTTGTGCTTTAAAAAATATGAAAGTATTTTTTAAAACACTATCCAAATGTGTTCTAAATCCATTTAGTGAAATTCAATGTTTGTTTGGATAATTTGGTAATTTAGTCACTATATTAGCTGATTTTAACGGAGGAATCTATTTGTGACGTTGTCATAAAAACTTGGGTTTCTAGAATATAAGGGCAATTTTTTGCCCATAATATCAATTAAAAATAATATTTTTATAAAATAACTAAAATAAGATAGCCTTTTGAGAAAAATATCAACAAAGAACAGACATTGTTCATCATCTTCCACCATGAGAGAATCTCATCGTTAAAAGCTCCCTCGTAGTTGATGCCCATGACTTTGGAATTGAAAGAAGGCCGAACTCCCGAGCATACAAATCAAGAAACTCTTGTTTTACGGGAGATGGCATGGAAAATCTGAGAATTCATAGGTAAGCTTCGGTGTCTGGAGCTTGGTAGTCTCTAAAGTTTGCGTCCAAACTCTACTAATTCCTCCCTTGGATTCGAAGACGATCAGACGGAAACCCTTCTCCAAAGTATGATAACCGGAAATGCTCTTCACATCCCAGAAAGCAGACCGACGGCCATGTCTAAGTCTCCATCTCCAAGGACTCACAGAACTTCCACAATCCGCAATGCTTGTTGTAGGATCATAAGATTCCGGCCATATATTCTATCATTTTTCCTTATGAATCCATTGCTCCTTTCATTGCTCTTCCTTCTCTCGTCCGCCCATTCCTTTCATTCCTCTTCTCTTGTCCGCCCATGTCGGTGTGCAAAACGAACGGGATTTGCTGGATTCACTGGTTTCATTGTTCCTCCATTTGCTTCCACAAACAACCTTCTTTTGTACGTTACAAAGCCGAAGAAGACCAGAAGAGTATCCACTGCCCTTTCTTGACATTTTTTTAAAAAAGTTATCCTATTTTAATTATTTTATAAAAATATTATTTTTTATTGATATTGAGTGCAAAAAGTTGCGAAACCGTAAAAAAAAACTTTAACGGAGGCAATCAATATGCGGTTGCAAGTGGCTGTTCGGAGGTAATTGCCAATTTGCCATTATCCAAAAAAGAGAAGTGGACCCACAAAATAACTATATAACTGCTCTACGGTACTCCTTGAGTCACTACTCACTAGATGATCATCAGACAAAGAGAGCGACTCTGAGTTTTGACTGAGGTGTGAACGAGTGTTTCTCGGAGTTCTTCTTCATCCGTCGTCGGCATCTGACTTCAAAAGAAGGAAAAAGGGCAAAGGACACATGTCGGGAACCCATCTCTCGCCATACCCTCCTCTCTTTCGTCACTCAGATGATTCTCTTCAACCGACACTGGACTCGGATCTTCTCCCACAAATTGATTTCCATCTTCTGGATCTCGACAAACTTACAGAAGTTTGTAGAGATTGGGGCGTCTTTCGGTTGGTCAACCATGGAATCCCCGCCGATCTCTCAAACCGATTGCAAGACCAAGCAAAGAAACTTTTCTCTCTCCCCGTCGAATCCAAACAAGCCCTGTTCAATAGCCCTCCCATGGCTTACTTTTGGGGCACCCCTGCCCTTACTCCTAGTGGGGTGGCTATCACACAAAGCGCCCAAAACCTCTACCAGCTCGAAGGGCTCTTTGTGCTTTTGAATCAGCTACCGCAACTTCAAGGAGATGATCCCACTTTGAGATCTTTCAGGTATTCCCTCTCTCTCTCTCTCTCTCTGCTCAGTATGGATCAAACCCTAAAGTTATAATAGCTCCATTGAGTTGAAAAAAAAAAAAAGCAATAGACCATAGTTTGTCGAGTTGGGTCTACAACTACAAGCTCACTGTCTAAGACAATTCTGCACTAACTTCAATGTAAACAACTAGATTTCCAGTTTTCCACCATGATTGCTGATAAAAATCACTGTTTATCATCTTGGCCTGTTTCAACAGGTTGCTACTAGAGGAATACGGGCAACACATGGCCCGACTAGCCAGGAGCATATTCAATGTTGTAATGAGGAACCTCGGCTTGGACCCTTCATTGTCCGAAACTTACTTGTCGGAATCTACAGGAGTAGTACGACTCTACCGCTACACACATTGCCGGGATGCAAACCAAATATCCGGCATGGAAGCCCACACCGATAGCTCCGTCCTTTCCATATTGAATGAGGATGAGGTGGGAGGTTTAGAAGTGTACAAAGACGACAGATGGATCCAAGTTAGACCCATCACCAACACGCTTATTGTCAACCTGGGCGACATGATGCAGGTGGGCAACATTGATCCTTGATGATTTGTATCGCTTCTCTCGTAATCTTTTTTTTTTTCACAACAACTTGTATTGAAATGGAGTATTATAATGTGTAGGCTATGAGCAATGATGAATACAAGAGTGTGAAACATAGAGTGCTAGTGAAGAAAGGGGAGGACAGGATGTCGATCTGCTATTTTGTGTTCCCAATGGACGATGGAGTGATTCAGAGCACAAATTACAGGCCGTTTACTTACAAGATGTTCCGAACCCAGGTTCAGGAAGACATAAAGGCCACCGGTTCCAAGGTTGGGCTCCAACGATTCATGCATACGGAGCCTCAAATAAGGAGTTCAGCCCCCACCCCCAACCCTGGGGCCCAACGTTAAAAACTTTATACTGTTGTTTTTTGTAACAAAGGTTCGGATATCGGATGCAACGGGAATCGAACCCGGGTCTGTACCGTGGCAGGGTACTATTCTACCACTAGACCACTGGTGCTTGTTGAATTTCAATATGCATAGAATTTTACAAGAAGTTACTTTGCTCTTGGAGAGTGAACCAGCTACTAAGCCATCATTCAACTCAGTAGGCCAGGCCCATAAGACTGACTACCAATTCTAACGAATCCATGGGTAAACCAATAGCAATCAAATTCAAATTGGCATATGGTATCAACAGAAAAACGAATGACAATCAAGAGACCAGATGATTGAGACTTGAGACCCGAGACATCCCAATCTCCTTCCCAGGTGGGACCGTGGGAGGGATCGATTGAAAAGAGAGGAAGAACATTAGATCAAAACATGACTCCCTATGGTTGTACTTGTACATTAGCTTCTCCACCATTTCCATCTCAACACAAACAACAGAACAAATACAAGCCGATACAGCCGATCAAAAGATAATAGAAAGTAATGAAATAATTACTTTTTGAACACTGTCGCAAGCTCACCCTTCTCCTGCATGGAGGAGAGGATATCACACCCTCCAATCAATTCCCCATTAACAAACACCTGAGGGAACGTTGGCCAGTTGCTGTACCTCTTCAGCGTCTCCCTCAACCCATAATTGTATTCTTCATCGAGAACGTCCACGCTCTCGAAATCAACCCCTTCACTTTCCAATATTCCGACCACCCTCTGCGAGAACCCACAGAGTGGAGCACTTCTTGATCCCTTGATGAAAGCCACCACCTTGTTCTCTTTCACCAGACGGTCGATCAACTCCTCCAATGGGACAGTCAGCTGCACATGGCGGCCCGGTGTCAAACGGAGATCAGGTTTCTTCTTCTGCTGAGGCTGCCGAACCCAGGTGGTGTTGCCCGATTGGTTCCCTGGTGGAACCTTGCCAGTAGCTCCTATGTACTCTTCCAACCATGATTTCCAAGCTTGGGTTAGAGAAGTTCGATTAGGTTCATCCACCACTCCCACCTACGGACTCAAAGCTATTGTTAATTAGTGTCACGCCTATCTTCTGGTCTCACATTCTGGTGCATGTTTAGATTAAGATGGTTAGCCTTAATCGTCCACCTGCACCATAGATCAGCCATCCAAATGCATCTAAGTTCAAAGGAATTGACGACAGATTTTATGAAAAGCATGGATCTAAAGATGAATTATCGGGCAGTCAAAGATGCTCGAATCTCTCAGAATATCATACCAAGGAAATAACTTTGGCTATTCCTATTTGGGAGGGCTTGGCTTCATAGATTGATTCAGCTGCTCTGAGCTATTGAAAGAGGCACTAATGTCGTCTGTCTCGGTTCTCTGGGTAGACTGGGTTTACAATCCCAATTCCCTGCTGTAGGGACTATAATGCCACAATAATACAATGTCAATCAATGAGATTTAAAGTTCCGATCCGACGGTGTTCTGTTCTGTAGCCCACTTGTGTATAGCAAAAAAAGAGCCGCAGGGGCAGGGTATTCAAGTAACAACAAATTACATATAGAAAAATTATAGCAAAGGGGAGGGCGAAACCGATTACCTTGACAGAGTAGCAGAGATCCGGAACCGATTTCCGGTGGGAGAGAACGCTGGCCGCTATGCTTCGCGATATTCCAATGAACTGTAAGTCGTTGTTCTTGTCATAAACGGCGTACACGCCAGAATCTGATGGGAACTTACTTGCGAGTTCGTCTGCTTCTCCGGGGACGGGAACGAGCTCGGCGTCTGCGAGTTTCTTCAGAGAAGATACGACGACGAGCGCGAAAAGTCTCCTGCTCTTGTTTTTGGGGTTTGAGGAGATGGAAGGAAACGAGGTGGAGTGACTGCGATGTAAAAATAAGGGTTTATGAGGGGTAATTTCGAGAGGATGAGAAGACAATACACGAACGGAAGATGAACTCTGAATCGTCGAGAAGCTGATTGCGGCCATTTTCTTTTCTTGATGCTCAAATTTGATAAGGATTGCGATGAACGAATACGTGAAACAGAGGGGGTGGGTGGGGGAGAAGGGAAGACTTGACGATAATAGTCTGGATATTTCTATTTGCTGAGCTTTTCAAGATCCCGAAATGACGATAATAGTCACTCTTTTGCAGTTGAATTACATGAATCCCCGCAATATAATATAATATAATAAACGATATCTGCTTATCCGGTATCTAGTCCGATTAAACCGATCCGAAATTGAAATATTCAATCATTTTATAACCAGATCAGTAGTGAATTAGTGATCAACGCAAATCTTACCCGGTTTACCACCAATCTCATCCGCCCCTACATCATGTACAAGGATGGCAATTTCCATCCTACCCGGCGGTTATCCGCCCCTACCCTCCCAGATCCAATGGGTTTCTGTTGGTTGGCTTTGCCGTTTTGGGGCGGTGACGGGTTTTGGGGAATTTACATTTATGTGGGTATGGGATAGGATATGATATTAAAACTAAAAGCATATATTTTATTGGAAGCGTCCAAGCAATTGGTTTCATTTCACTTTAAAATCGTTATTGGGCCAAAAATTATTAACTTGATCAGTGAATCGTTGATCCAAGCTATTGAACCGTCAATCCATTGGCCCAGATAATAGTTTTTAAAACTTTGTGTTGAGGTATTATAAATCGCAGCTTATAATTTTTCATTTCTCCTAGATTTCTATAAGTGGGGAAACTAATATTGATATTTATAGTCTTAGGCTATCATACCTTATCCAATTTAATTTGGAACCCAACCCAAACCAAGGTTGAAAATAGGAGCATCATTAATAACTTTCTTTGCAGTGGGAGGGTTTCTCTCTCTACGTGAGGGTCTCTCTTTTTGTGGGAGGGTTTTTCTCTCACATCTATGGATGTGAATTTTCATTTATTTTTCTTCATATCGGTGCTTGTTGGAGAGGTTCTTCGGATAGATTAACGACAATTTTGATCCAGGCATATGGAGCAGACTTGGGATCTTTGGTTCTATTCATTATAATCTTCGTTTTCCTTTTGCTATTTTTCTTATTTCTGTTGGGCCTTGGTCGAATTTGTGTATGGTGTGCCTTTAGGGCCTGTCATGGGTATCCATTTGTTTTGTAATGATGTTACCGTTCCTAGCAAGTCTTTTTTTGATGCTCTTCGAGTTCTCTCCGATGGCGTTCATGCTCGAACTGTTTCAGTTTTTATAACGACATGGATGGGTGGTTTTTTTGCACATCTTACGTCCTTACAGTTACAAGTTACAACTTCTTTTGTGCACTTTTTGGCTTTCTATGGGGCCCATTCCTAGAATGTTTGGACAGTGGAGCGTTAGGGAGAGTTTTGTAATAGGAGGCGATCTTGGGCCTCTCCTGCTTTCACGTTTTCAGTATTGCCATGGATTGGGTGCCATGGTACCTGTTTTCTCTATACCCCTTGAGGGTTTTGTGTAGTTGATCTAAACCCATTTGGAAAGGAGACACTTGCTGTCTTCCTCTCTGTTGGAGGCATTTAGCCAACCTTTTTGGTGTTTCTTAAATTTGCGTAAGTTGTAGAGATTTCTCAAGTCATTTTTCTCTCGGTGCTCGTGGTTACTTGCTTTTGTCTCAACATGTTTTGCTGTTAATTTTTATACTTTGTAACCTGAGCATTTATGAATGAGCTTGCCTTTAGACGTCAAACAAAAAAAAAAAAAACAAACAAAGATTGAAAATAAGAGCAAATCATATGTGGTAAACAGAACTAAAAATTCCAATTTAGTGACGATAGGCCATCCATGAAAGATATTCTATGGAACTTGAAGTATGCATTGTTATGTTTTTTGATTGTCACAAATTATAAATGCTACTTTGAAAATTTAAAGAAGAATGAAGGATAAAATAAATAATTTGTTCTTTGTGCCAATAATAACTAACACAATGTCAATTGTGGGATGCTTTTAGCCATTTTGCAAACAATGTGGATACATTTAATCAATTCCTTAAAACTTGGGGAGTAGTTGAAGCGATTTCCCCCCTTTTTTTTGTTTTGTGGATCTGGATATAACCATTTCATGGTGGATCTATGGAGTTCAAATCAGCCCCCCACCAGATTGCCCCCCACAACGTCCCACAACACATTCCTGCCATGTATTGTGAACATCTCCTGATGATGATATCATCATTTCTAGTATCACATCGGGAGATGTTCCAAATACACGACTTGAATGTGCTGTGGGACATTGTGAGGGCAATCTTGTGGGGGCTGATTTGCTCTCAAATCTATGCAAGAAGTGTCGATTGCCTCAGCTGTTAAAAGCCGGATGGATGCAGTAGCTAGTTTTGAGTTTGGCTTTGGCAAGGCAAGCCCGTGCTCACACTATTCCAACACCTTTTTGTAGCTTTGCATTGGGAATATCTATCCATCAAGTAAAGGACATAAGTAGGGAAATATTCCCAATGCAAGGCTGTAAAGGTTGCTCTAATGGGCTTTGCCTTGATTGAAGTCGGAATGGCTAGTTCTTGACTTGGGATTAATTCCCACCTTCCTTCCTCCTAACCCTCCAAACGGTCTGTTTCAATTGTTAACGGGTACATAACTACTACAATCTATTGTAATATCTAAATCCAATTGTACCTATTGTTTGAATCCCATATTCAACAATTACAACTAGGGATGCAAAAGCATTGGATCAGATTCGAATCAGAGTATATTCGAATCCGATAGGATCTAATAGGACTTTTATCTAAATTTGAATCCTATCAGATTTTTGGATTTGATTTGATCTGACTTATTTTCTTTAAAAATCAATAAATTATTAAAAGAAAAAATAAATATATCAATTTAAATAAAAAAACAAAAAAAATATAAGTATTTTTTAATTATTTTCATCATATATGCATGTTTTTTTTTATAAAAAACTAAATAATATAACAAATTTATAAAAAATACAATATAAATAATATATTTATAATTAAACAAATAACATATATATATATATATATTTATAAATATATAACACATTGGATCGGATCTTCTCATATTAGATAGGAGGTGATCCGAATTCGATCAAATAGGATTGGATTAGATCATGATCCAATTCATTTGTACCCCTAATTACAACCTATATTCACTTGTTAAAAAATTATAATTAACCCATGTTTTGACCATTGTAAACCAACCAAGGTTTTAAAAATCGACCCAGAAACGGAACCATTATGGGCACTGTTTTTCGGTTCAGTAGTTCAACCATCCGGGTTGAACAGTTCGACCCGTGGTGTCATAAATAAATTAAAAAACAACATATGAAAAAATAAAAATATCTAAATATAAAAATAATAAAATATAGAAAATACAAAAAAAATACGAATGGCCAATGCCCAACAGAGTTCACGAATATCACACAATCTCTTCCACTCAATCATCCTAGAAGCCCAACACCTGGTTGTCCAGTCAATAGTCTTCTATGACCAAAATCTTCTGATAGCATCCTTCTCCACTGGGCCAACTTGTTCACCATCCTTGTTAATGAACATCCATTTCTTGAGTGGTTCCATGAAAGCAGTTAAAAKCTAGCAAATTCAATTGCAAAGGAATAGAGGTCCTCTCCGGAGCTTCATGAGAAACTGTTAGAAGATCTACAACTAACACACACCCACTGACTAAGACACAACCTCGGATTCTGTAGTGGCTCAACATCAAAATTGAAAAATAGGGAATGCCTCAACCTCAAATTTTGCAGTGGCTTTCGACTCCAATGGAGTGGTCATCAGTGCAAATGGTGATTCAATTCCTTAAAAAATCATAGTATTGCAAAAAAAAAAAGAGAGTTAATTAAAAAAAATCATTGAAATGGCTAAATGAGAGATAAAAACTAAAATTTAAAGTTCTGAACTGAACAATGGTGGTTCTGAACTAAACATTGGTCGCCGGCTCACTTGGTTACCTGAAAAATCACAGTGGTTGCTGGCAGTCGCAGTGAAGATAGTTGCTGGAGGTTGGAGTCCACAATGGTTGCCGGCAACCGCAGCRAAGATAGCCGCCGGAGCCGTTCCTTTCAAGATGTGGTTGAGAAAGAGTGAAAGACTCGAAAGTTGAAGCTTTAGTCGCTTGCATGTGCTTGCTCGGATTATGGGAAGGGTGGTGCCGGTGTATCACCACTGTCGTCTTCGGTGAACTCCTGAAGGCTTTTGGTTTTGGATTTGGCAAAACAAAACCCTAAGAGGCTAAGACTTTTGAAGGTAAGAAGGTTAGATATTAGGATATATTTGGCATTTTATTTTTATTTTAAAATAAAAACCAAATTTATAAAATACCGAACTGCTAGCTGTTGACCAGGTTGAACGGGTTGACGGTTCAATCGGTTGGGTCGATGATTTTTTTGACTTTTTCAACGTTTTTCACTAAATGACGATTCAAGGTAAACTTGGAATCGTTCAAGTGACCAGTTTCTAGTCCAAATGGTCTGATCATCCGGGTCAACGATGGTTCGAAAATATTGAAACCAACTAATATCAACTCAATTGATAAGTTCTCTGACTGGTTGTAGAAGAGAGTTGGTATCGCTCTTGCTGTCACCAATGTTGTGTTGGGGGGTCATGGTAATTTGGGATGGGTTACTCACTCCTCATTGTGATTGATACAAACCATAATCATTGCTATAAACAAGTTTAAAGAGATAGTCGATTTGAGTTTGAGCTTCTTAATATCCGATTTGAGTGTCTCATGAGTTTGAATCCATTTGATTGCAAGTTGATACATGCATGGATTGTATGGGCCATTTGGCAAGTCTTTTTGAGAATATCTTTTAGTAGCTCTCATAATAAAAAAATATAGTGAATTTTTGCATTAAGATCTTGACAGATTAAAGACCATTTGATTCAGGCGTGTCTTTTTGTACGTGTATGAATTAAAAAGTATCGAAAAATTTCTTTTAAAAATCGCAAAAAACGGGCTTTTTACGTCTTTTCGAAAAATGAATTAAAAAAATACTAAAAAGCTTCTTTTGAAAATCGCCCACGGACTTTTCACGTCTTTTCGACGCATCGGCTATTGGCGACTAAATCTACTACAAACCAAACGTCTTTTCACGTCGTTTCTAGGCATATCTGATGCGGTCGATCCAATCCAATCCAATTGTTGCTTTAATCGAGTAAACGACTGGCCTAGCTGCAAAAATACCAACAGCGTGGCCGTTTTCTTCCGAGTAGTGATCCTTTCGTCCATTTATACACACACAAAAAAAGGAAAGATTATTGTCCATTGTGTCGAATAAGTAAAGTTTCACCAAAATCTGTTGATTCACTCACTGAGAGTCTCGTTTAACTCGAGATTTCCTACTCACTTTTCCTACCCACTGAGAGAGCCATCCCCTATTATATGAGAGATGTGTGAATGCTATTCACGGCGGGTAAAGCATAGGGTAATAGTTACTAGCTTTGGCATTCTACAAACTACAAAGGCATTTGGTGGTTCTTTCTTGGGGAAGAAGTCAGGTTTTGGGTACCGGAATCCCGCCAGTCAGATGTAAAACTCGAACACAGGTTGATACACAGACTCTGTGCTATAGCTATATATGTTTCACCTGCCAACTATGTCTGGGGATCATGGCGACTCTACTTGAAGACCATCGTCGGAGGAAGAACCGACAGCGGAATGAGAAGAGAAGAAAGCTTCTTGTTGGGAAGAAAGTTGAGGTAATCTCGCTTTTCTCGAATCTGTTCTTTTATTTAATGTTCTGCTCCTCTTTACGATTTTTCATTGTTTTTATTTCGCCTTTTCCGACTTCTTATTCGTGGTTTCTTTATTTTATGTCGTTTTCATCTTCTTCTTTCGATGTTGTGGGGTACCCCTCTTGTTACTCGGCGTTGTCGCTCCTTTACGTTACAGATGTTTTCCGTTTTTTTATTTTCTTTATTTTTTCTTTGTTATTGTCTATTCGTTTTTCCTCTCTCATGGTTTGGAGTTGGTGGGGTTGTTCTTGGCTTGATTCTAGCTGCATTGCTCCTGCATTCTTCTGTTTTTGGGGTTGCATGCCTTCTTATCTTGCTTGATTTTGGTTTGTGGGGGGGGGGGTTTCTCGCTGAGTTCCTCTGCCTCGTTCAGAGGTTGAGGAGCTTTTACTTCACTTCTGATATCACTGTGTGTCGATTTCTCCTTTTAACTTTGCTTATCTAATAATAATGAGGGGTCGCAGGTAAGGAGTGTGGAAGAGGGGTTCGCAGGGTCGTGGCACCCGGGAGAAGTCATAGGCTGTGGCGACCATATCCGTTGTGTAGAGTACGATAATCTTGAACGTGGTGATGGCTCTGCAAAACTCATTGATTCGGTCGCCGTCACTCCGGCCATTGAAGGTGTCACTCCCACAAGACGGACCCTCGATAACTACCGGGGCCGCATTAGGCCGGTCCCCCCTCCTTCTCGTGTTGACAAATGGGAAATCAACTATGGACTGTGTGTAGACGCTATTCACAACGGTGCATGGTGGGAAGGTGTGGTATTTGATCACGATGCTGGCTCCCTGAAAAGACAAATCTTTTTTCCCGATTTGGGTGACGAAATGAAACTGGGTATTCGTGAAATGAGGATTACCCAAGACTGGGATGAGGTCACGGAAGAGTGGAAGCCTCGTGGGTCGTGGCTGTTTCTTGAAGTAATTGAGAAATACAAACTGGATTGGTTTCAGTTTGTTTCGGTGAAGGAGATTTGGTTCTTTGTGAGGACCGAAGAGGAATTTGTGAAGAAAATAAAGGAGTGGACTGTTAGGTCGAACCTGTGGGACAATTTGGTGAGGGAGGCTTTGAGTGTACACTCAGTTGTAAGTGCAAACAAATTTGTTGATTATATAAACTCCAAATATGGGGAGGATTTGGCTGACACGCCGAGTAAAAAGAGGAAAATCATTGAGCCTGGGTTTTCATTTACTGAGGTTGTTACTGATGGATTGGTACCTAAATCAGCTGAAGAGGTTATGTTGAAGCCCGAAGGAGATTTGGCTAAGTTGCGGAGTAAACTAAAGAAAATTAATTCTTTGGAACTTTCTGCAAGTAAGGTTGGTTTGGACAGTCAATTAGAGGACTATGGACAGCAGATTATATTGAAAAATGGAGAAAACCAAACTATTTCAGATCTACCATCCATTTCAGCCCCTTGTGTTGTTGTACCTGCTGAGAGTATTAGTTCATTATTCAGTAACCATCAGATGGAAAGTGATGCTTTATTGAATCCCTTCATTATTGGCAAAAATACCTCTCATGATCAGGAGCATGTTACTGGGAAGAATATCTTGGAGCATAGTGTTGATATTATTGGCAAAACTGTTCAAGATAGTGGCAGGGCTACTGCAATGCTCCCTACAGGTTCACACTATTATACAAATGAACCAGTTAAGGAACTTTCTGTGAATAAAGAGAGTTTCATTTCTCAAACCGAGGACAATTTATTGGGTGTAGAACTATTGAGGAATACAAGTTTGTCTGGCCAAGGTGAAGATGTAATTATGCAGCCACATGCTTTATTGGTCTTACCTTCTGATCCAGAGTTATCTGCTTGTGCCAGTGATAGTGCTAATGAAGAAGGCTTCAAACTTCCATTGAGCGGAGAATATGAAACTTCAGTAATTGCTCAAGATCATGCAAATGGCCACTGTGGAAGAAATGATCCAAAAGGCAGTGAGTACACTAGTAATCTTTCAATTCTTGATGCAAGCAGAGATTCCTTCTTCTGGTTTACTGCCAATGGTAAAGGGGAAACCAAATATACATTAAGCAGGGAAGGTGAGGCTCAAGGAGGGGGTGCTCAAGATGTTATATATGATCATGAAAGTATGAATTTAAAATGTGCTGATTCAAATGATACATCTGTCCATATGGCATCTAGAGGCAATCATATATGGCTACCTGCAGCCCCTGATATGATTCCAGGAGCTGATTACTTCCCTGATGCAATTGCAGAATATATACATAACCTGCAGAATAGGAGGAAGTGTCCTGGTGTAGTAGGAGAAGCTAGGAGGCACCTCCTATATTTAGGCTGGAAAGTTGAGTATAGGCAAGATAAAAAAGGTAAAAGAATTATCAGGTTCCTGTATACCTCTCCCAAAGGGAGGCCCTATCCTTCTCTTCTTCAGGCCTGCCAAGCTTTGACGAAATATGAAAAAGATGTTCGGACTGAGAACCCCCAAAATCACCAGCCATCTTTGGCTCATACACCTGGTGAACTGTTAAGTTCAAGTTATCAACTAGTCTCTCTGCCATGTAGAGCTGGTGACTGTCCTCTGCCTGAAGAAACTTTGATGTTAGACAAGGGGGTGGAAACTAAAGGCCCATATATTGTATTTGTTGAACCAAAATATTACCCTCAAGCAGTAATAGATTGGTGTCTGATTGGATTGACAGGGCAAAAAGAAGAATACAAGAAGAATGGAGCCTACAAGAGTTCAGATATAAGACTAAAAGCAAGGGGACATCTTTCAGCTGTTGGGTGGAAATTCTGGCATGTCACTAGGACTGGGAGTGGAAGGCGTGAAATGCGCTATTGCTCACCAAAAGGGAAGAATTATTTTTCTCTTCGAACAGCATGTTGGGGATGTATTGAAGAAGGAGGATGTCCTGGAGGTACTATACCTGAGATGTTAAAGGAGAGGATGACTGCAATTAAGGATTCCAAGTGCTTGCTAACTATTGAAAAATGTGAATCACCAATACTATATAAAGAGGTTGATGTAAGTATGCTGCTGCCAAATAATCGATTTGAAAAGGATTCTACAGAGTCTTCTGGTTCATCACAATCCAAGGATCCGGTTGAGTACAGAAAATCAAGTGCCCGAGGAATAAGAAAACACAGCAAGAGGAGAGAGAATAATCTCTTTTATCCTGCACCTGGATTTCCTTTTAAGTCAAGATACCAATCAGATTATGGCGTCAATTCTCGGAAACTGAAGAAAGGGAAGACATCTACTGCTCTCACCAAACAAGGAGACAACTTGGAAAACAGCTACCCAGTTTATGTGCTGCGTTCAAGCAAGAGAGCAAGGCAAGTTGTGAAATCAAGCCCTGTACACCACACTCCTCGAACAATTCTATCTTGGCTGATAGACAACAATGTGGTATTGCCAAGGGAAAAGGTACATTACATTGGCAGGAAGAACCGCCATCCAATGGCAGAAGGGCGTATTACACGTGATGGGATCAAGTGCAATTGTTGCCAAAAAGTGTTCACTATCAGTGGCTTTGAGGTTCATGCAGGCAGCACTAAACACCGACCTTCTGCCAATATTTTTCTGGAAGATGGAAGATCTCTATTAGAGTGCCAGATGCAAATGATAGAGGATGATAAGCATAAGAGTTTCATAGCAGAATCATATGGGAGAATCAAGAGAAACTTACCTGGCTATAAGAGTGACCACATATGTTCAGTCTGCCACTATGGGGGCACACTATTATTATGTGATCAATGTCCATCATCATTCCATTTAAACTGCCTTGGTTTGAAGGTTCCTTTTCTTTTGTTTCTATAATCATGTATAAGGTTGTTGTATATTTATTTTTTTGAATATTTTGATTACCGGAGTGGATCTTAATGAAAATGCTTGCTGTTTTTGTAGGATGTTCCCAATGGAAAATGGTTTTGCCCATCCTGCCAATGCGGGATATGTGGCAACAGTGAATTCAATGGAAATATTGAACAGTTCACAGAGAAAACTATTCTTTATTGTGATCAATGTGAGCGTGAATGTGGGTTCAACTCTTACCTACCTATCTACATACGTACATGCATACTTATCTATTGTAATTAAAATGATTGAAATTTACATATACCCTATTTGCTGTAGATCATGTGGGATGTTTGAAGAGAAAAGGACATGCAAAGCTGGAAAGTTGTCCAAAAGGAAATTGGTTTTGCAGTAAAAATTGTGAAAAGGTACTTCAAACTTCATGCTTGTAGTCCTCACATATTTTCTGCATTTGATGTTTTCTTCGTAAGCATGATTTATGTCAGAGTTTCTTTTTATTGCCAGAAATACTTCACCTTTTGTGGTCCCCCTTCTAAGCAATTACTGATGATTTAGGCAACCCAAAACATTGCACAATGAAGTATTTTCACTACTCCCCATGACTATCTTTTTTGAAAGTGTGAATACAGTATTAGGAGTCATGTTGGATAATGCTTATGTAAAAAGAGCTTTGGTTTCTATTATTTATAGTAGATTTAGTCTTTGTTTGTTTGTTTAGTATAATGTCTGGGGTGTCAATTAGTTGATACTTATATAGTTAATATTTTGTTATTATCATTTTATTAGATACGATTAGATACTGTGATCTGTTAAATTATAAATCATGAGTTCTTGGGACACATCTAGTTTAGTGCAATAATATACCTCATTCAACATGTAGCTTCTGATATTATTGTCTCTTTTCTGCAGATATTTATGGAACTTAGAAAACTTATTGGAAAATCAATTCCAGTTGGTGTGGATAACTTATCTTGGACTCTTTTGAAATCCATTGAAGATGATAGTTCTCTTGAGGCCATGACAGAGCATAATAGCAAACTCAATGTTGCAATTAGTGTAATGCATGAGTGCTTTGAGCCTATAAAAGAACCTCGAACCAAGAGGGATCTTGTTGAAGATGTTATTTTCAGTAAATGGTAATGCTATCTTAGTTTTGACCTTTATTTTGATAGGCATCTTAGTTTTTGACTTAATGCTGATATTGTAATTATAACATAATTATTGTCCTTGGGCATGGAGCAGCTTCTGATTGAAGGAGACTCTAAGACAGTGGTGGACTGGTTAAATAATCCGGAGGATGTCACTTGGGGCTACAAAAATGAGTTAAAGAAATTCAAATGGATGACAAGAAATGTCTATAACAGTACAATGGGTTGGGAGATCAGCTAATGCTTTTGCTGATGTCTTGGCAAAACAAGGGATTAATAGGGAAACATTGTTCTGGGCACAATTGTAACTATTGTTTTATTTTCAACACTCATGTTTTCTCTGTTGTAGTTTGTGTATTTGCTGTTTGGAGAGGCTGCTCCTCGCGCCTCTAAGGGGATCTTTTTATATCTATTCATTATTTTAATGGAATTGATGTTATTTATCAAAAAAAAACATAATTATTGTCCTTTCTTATCCTGGGAAAATCTACATCTTTTGTCTCTTATTTGTAGTAGTATAAAGTATAGATGATTCTGCAAATTACACTTGATACCCAAACTTCCCTTTTTTTTTTTCAATTGTTTGAGCTATGAGTGGTAATTCTTGCCCGGTGCAGAGAACCGTTACATGCATATACATGTACATGTACACATACACATACAATTACAGATCCATATACACATGTATATATACACATACACAATACACATACATTCAACCCAATTTGTTTTTTTTTTTTTTTAAATTAATTTGATTTGATTTCCTTGTTGGTTCTAGATAGAATGAGAGAAAAGAGAAGAGAAGAAGAGAGAGGAGTTTTAGAATGACAATGTGATGTAGGATGCAGGGTTGTAATTGGGTAGGATTTTGATTGGACCCAGCCACATCTGAGTTGGATCTGATTATTAAAAGCGTAAATCTGAATCCAATCTGAAACCAAATTGGATGTAATGGATCTTGGATTGGATTTGGATCCTATTGGATTTTAGGGTTTATCTGAGTCTATTTAACCCACCTTTGAAATAAAGGAAAAATTAAATAATTAGAAATAAATTAACCACTTTTGACTTATAGGCTGTGTTTGGTAAGAGTGCAAATGAAGAGCTGAAGCAAGTTTGTACTCTGGTTCAGTTTTGTGGGTGTTCGGTAAGGATATGTTTTTGTACTAAAAGTGAATTTGTTTTTTCATCCATGTTTGCATTAAAAGGGGTGCAAAATTTTCTTCAAAAAAACTGATACAGACTTTTTCTCTCTTCTTTATACTAATATAAAGTTGTAAACATGTCTTGTAATTCATGTTTGCAGCCATCACAACCAAACCCGATACAATCTATCAGTGCAAAACTGAACTGATTTGGCACACCTTCTTTTTGGCCAAATTTGCATTTGTTAGTGTAGGGGTATTTATGTCTTTATACTTATGTTGAGGTTGCTGATCTGTAATATTATATTAGAACTAGTGTCCCTCACTTAAGTAAGGGCACGTGTGTCTTTTCCATTATATTAGTAATATAAAACATGTCTGACCGAATGGGAAAAGCTATCTTTCCCTAATTCGAATTAGACTTTTCTTCTCTTCTTTTCTCCTCCTTTCTCTCTTTCTTTCTTCTTCTTTCTTCTTCTCTCTTCTTGGTTGTTATCAGACTAACAAAACTCAAAGGCAAGCCGAATTATAATATGGTACCAGAGCACAACTAAGCAACTCGGATCTGCCCAGATTTTTGTTTTTTGTGCACTCAATCTAGGGTTTTCTCTTGATTTCTCTGCCATCGATTGGAGATAAGGGAAAGGGCTGAAAAGGAGTAGTCGCCCTCTTCCCTTGGAGGTTTCTATGCCTCCAGTTGTACTGTTCATGGTCGGTTGCTGTGGTCTCTAAGAAGCCCTCCCCTAATCGATGAAGAGAAGAGGGCTGATTCATGTGGTGCAGTGGGTTTCTTGTGTGGACTGATTTTCTTTTTGTGTGGTTTGTTTTTCGGGTGATGAGGTAAGAGATTTCTATGCATATTTTTTGTTACGAATCAAATAGGAAGTATGTTTCAGATCGTATGATGGGATTTCAGATTGTAGTGTGCTAGGGTTTATGCTGCTTTTTGTGTGATTCGAAGGGGGAGTGGTTCTCATATAGTGGTGAGATTTCAGGTAGTCGTAGGGTAGGGTTTGTGGTGTAAAGATTGCAACCTTCAGCAATAACAAGTGCTGAAACCAGTGTGATTAGTGTGATCAAGTAGTGTGCAGTG